CCCCATCCCCGTTTTCAAAAGCGACCGGCCTCCCCCTTGTTGGGATGGCGCCCCCCCCCCCCCCCTCCCACCTCTCCTCCCACGCCCCCTCCCTCCCACCACCTCTCCTCCCACGCCCACCACCTCTCCTCCCACGCCCACTCCTTGTCTGCGCAGCCGCGGCGCCCTCCGAGACCGAGCTCGCTGAGCAGCGGCAGCTGCAGGAGCAGTACGCAAACTCCGTGCACGCCTAGCTGTGAACGGCGTCTCTTCACACCTCTAGCTGTGAACAGGAGCAGTACGCCAACCTGCCGGAGGCAGTGCGCGCAAACATGGCGGGGCCGAGCTGAGAGCCCACGCGACGCGAGACTGTCTAGAACGTCGATTTTCTCGCGGCTATGTGCACATGGATGTTGTGACTCTGGGAGCGGGGGGTGGTAGTGTCGGAGTCTGTACTGTGTGAGGAGGAGCGCGCGCCTCTATACGGCTAGATCCCCTACATGACGCGACGGAGAGTTCTGGCCTCGGAAGTGTCTGGCTCTGGGCGCGGGGGGTTTCGCAACCAATAAAGAAAAGACACCCCGATCCCCGTGCGCCGCGGCCCGCGCCGCCCGCGAAGCGCGAGCCGCGTGCGTGCGCCGTGCCGCGACGGGCCCGTACGCTCCCCCGTTTTGGGGCCCTGTTGAGTCGTTCCTTATCCATCGCGTCCGAGTCCCCGTTGTTCATGCTGATATAGATTGTTATTGAGATTGGGGCCAGTACGGATAGGCCGATGACTAAGGCCACGACTGTCGTCCCCCGGCACCACCGGGCACGGGGAAGTCGCGAAAGGCAAGTGGAGTGCGGGAGGTACGACTGGGCCGGCGAGCGGGGGCGCGTGGCGCCCTTCATGAACCTGTCCTTTTAGTTAGGACAAAAATCTTTTTAAAAGGACACATGGGGCTATCCGAGTAGGAAGGTGTCCTTCCAACTTGTGCACGCTTCTGGCGCAATGAGCGTCGCCTCGGATTGGCTGATATATATATCCCCTACATGACGCGACGGAGAGTTCTGGCCTCGGAAGTGTCTGGCTCTGGGCGCGGGGGGTTTCGCAACCAATAAAGAAAAGACACCCGGGTGCACCGGGACCCAGCTGTGAAGAGTCCGCAAGGGTCCGTGCCAAAATGGCCAAAATCGAGCCTGGTTTTGCCGACTCTGCAGTGGCCTCGCCTTGGAGCCCACCGCGCTCTTAAATCGCCTCGAGACCATGCTCCTCGGCAACCATCCCGTCCCCGCACCCTCCAACGAGGTCAGCATCGTCGGCGAGGTCACCAACGGGGTCATCATCGCCGCGAAAGCTGCCGTAAACACGCTCTTTTTGTCGCAGCGGCGCGGCGCGCTGATGGCTCTCCAGATAAAGAACCTGAAGAAGGCTGCGCTGGCGTACCTTGTGTGGGACCTACGCGGCGAGCTGGCGGGCGCGCGACTCGAGCAGGCGGTCGTGTACGGCAAGCGGCTCGAGACACACGCGAGCGGCGTGGACAAGGAGTTGGGCAAGTGCAAGCGGCGGCAGGCGGGCGCGGAGGCGCTTCTCGCTGTCGTTCCAGAAACTTTGCAGGACGTGCCGACGCCAGAGGAGCCCGCGGTAGAGGAGGAGCCGGCGGTCGAGGACCTGCCTGCCAGCGACTCCCGTCCCGACGACGCGTCTTCGGACAGCGATCGGGAAAGCGTCTTCGAACGCCGGGTGACCCGTAGGATGATCGACGCCGGCCTAACGCGGTATGGGTGGACGCAAGACAGATGATGACGACACGCACGAGCGACACACAGACACAAACAAGCTCACAAGACACACAGCCAGCTGGCTGCCACACACCCTGAGTTGGCGTACACATAACTCAGGGCCACATTCCTCTCTGTTGTGCGAGGGATTTTTGTTGTAAAATTCTTTTCCTGGGGCCAACTGCCATATGGAAATGGCGATGGCCGCTGCCGCCGCTACTTCGGCCGCTCCCACCGCTCACGCCAAGGCGCCCCTCATCAACGCCGCCGCCGCTCAGCTGCCCCTCTCGCGCGATCTGCTTGCCTACTATCAGTCGCGCGTCGCCGCCGCCGAGAAGGACATGGTCTCGCTGCAGGGCCGGCTCGAGGAGGTGGAAAGGCACGTGGAGGCGGCACAGCAGAGCCGGCGCGACCTGCTGAGGCGGACCGACGAGGTGGCCGAGCTGCAGCGCGCGCTCTCCGACTCGCACGTCTTTGTATGGGAGGCGCGCGACACGGCCGCACGGCTGCAGGCGGAGAACGACGGCCTCCGCATACAAGAAGCGGAGGACCGGCGGAAGATCCAGCACCTGCTGGCCCTCGTCGAGCCGCTCTCCTCCGACGCCGCTCTCCTCGTCCGCGCGCCGCTGCCGCCCAAAGCGGCGGGCGGAACACCCACCAGAGGAGCCGGCGGCGGCGGCGGCGGCGGCGGCGCGCCGCGGATTGTGCGCGTCGGCGACGCCCCTGAGGGAGGAGGCGGCGGTGGTGGCGGCGGCGGCGCTGCCTCCCTCTCCTCCGCCCTCGCGTCGACAGCGCCGTCTTCCGAGGCCAGCCAGTCTTCCGACTAGCACTCGAGAGGACTCAGACCGGTGATTACACGGTGAAGACAATCACACGGCACACACTCGCTGCGCACGATTGGCGCGGGGAGCCGACACGAGGCACACTGCCACCGGCCGTGTCACTGCGTCCGGACTGCTGGACGGACAGGTCACAGCTCACAGGACACGGTGGCTATCACGGCACGATCTCCCCATCTCTCCCCATCTCTCCCCATCTCTCCCCACCTCTCCCCACCTCTCCCCATCTCTCGTGTACTCGCGCGGTGCTCCGTGGCCTTCGAGCAGCTGCGCGACTTCACCAGCGCCGCCATGATCGTGATGAGATCCGCATTCACGCCCTGCACATCACAAGCGCACCTCTCCTGACAAATAATAGTGATTATAAAGTGTAATAGGGCACGGCACCGAGGCCGTCTGTCTCCCCATATCTCCCCATATCTCCCCATATCTCCACGAGGCCGTCTGTCCGCCCTGAGGTTGGCGCTTTCACGCTGCAGGCGAAGGACGGCCCTCGGCGTGTGAGGGTGACGCAGGCGGGCGTGATCTCCGCATATCTCCCCATACCTCCCCATCTCTCCCCATCTCTCCCCATCTCTCCCCATCTCTCCCCATCTCTCCCCATCTCTCCCCATCTCTCCCCATCTCTCGTGTACTCGCGCGGTGCTCCGTGGCCTTCGAGCAGATGCGCGACTTCACCAGCGCCGCCATGATCGTGATGAGATCCGCTTTCACGCCCTGCACATCACAAGCGCACCTCTCCTGACAAATAATAGTGAATATAAAGTGTAATAGGGCACGGCACCGAGGCCGTCTGTCTCCCCATATCTCCCCATATCTCCCCATATCTCCACGAGGCCGTCTGTCCGCCCTGAGGTTGGCGCATTCACCTGCAGGCGAAGGACGGCCCTCGGCGTGTGAGGGTGACGCAGGCGGGCGTGATCTCCGCATATCTCCCCATACCTCCCCATCTCTCCCCATCTCTCCCCATCTCTCCCCATCTCTCCCCATCTCTCCCCATCTCTCCCCATCTCTCCCCATCTCTCCCCATCTCTCCCCATCTCTCCCCATCTCTCCCCATCTCTCCCCATCTCTCCCCATCTCTCCCCATCTCTCCGCATCTCTCCCCATCTCTCCCCATCTCTCCGCATCGTGTCCCGAGCTCGCCCCAGCTCAGCCCATGTCTCCGCATGTGGAGAACGCTGATTCAAAATCTGTTGTTCACGTAAACGCATAACCCTGGGGCCGAAATTGCACAGAGTCACGCAACACGGGGTCCCAGGGAAGGCGAGCAAAAACCTTATCGCGCGCGCTAGACGCCGACTCGGAGGCCGCACCGGTCAGGCGCGCAGCCGGAGAGAGAGGGAGGCGCTCAATTGCCTGTTCACACAAAAACACAACCACGCTGTTCACAGATAGGGTGATAAGAAAACAAGAACCTCGCATACGTTCACAGATAGGTTGATAAGAAACACAAAAACACAACCACGGCCCCTGTTCACATAAACCCTGTTTATAAAATGAACTCGGGGGCACGGGACGCGGCACAAACGGGGCACAAACGCCAAGGCTACAAAGACGGGGAGGCACGTAGTGACGCAGGGGAGTCTAGACCCTGTTACCCCGGTTCACACAAAAACACAACCACGGACCCAAGACGCACACACAAAAACACAACCACAAGACGCACAAGCTGTTCACAGCTAGGGACGGCCTCTGCGGCAAAGTCAATCCACCCCATCACCTCCCACCTCCCTCCCACCGTCCCACCGCAGCAAACCTTCGGCTCCCGCTCAGAGGCTCGCCGCGCCCGTGCGGCGCGCCGATGCGGCGCCGAGGCCGGCGCCTTGCACCCGGCCCGCGGCCGGCACCGCCTCGCCCCCACAACTGACCGACCTGCGGCCCCTGCGCAGGTGTGCCACAGCGTCGCTCAAAAGCGACGGCCGGGTGTGGGCTGCTCCCTTGCCCCGTCACCCGCCGCGCCCTCACCCGGCCGCCTCACAGCGCGCACGGAGCGCTCGCTGCTCGCCGCCGCCGCCGCGCGTCCCGCGCCGCCACGCTTGCCCCCTTCCTGACGCGCGCTCTGCACCAGAGCGCGCGTCCCTGGCACAGACGGAGGGACGTCGCTGCTCCGCCCCTCCGTCGCGCGCGCCGCGCGCGCGCTGCCGCCGCCGCCGCCGCCGCCGCCGCCGCCGCCGCCGCCGCCGCCCTCTCCTCGACGTCTTTGCCTCCCGTGTGGTGTGTGGT